AGCCCAAAAAGGACGAAGACGTCCTATGTGTAAGGTGCAAAAAAGAAGTGAGTGCAAATGCAGAGAAATCAGGGATATGGCAGCATCACCATCACCCTAGTTTTTTCCCAAACGCTCAGTCTGGCAGAGGGCATGGTACATCGTTCTATAGGGGACCGCCTTTTGAGAGGCAGTTCAGGCCAGTAAATAATGGAAGAATATTCAAACCGCAACCTCGCCAACCAAATGTATGGTATTCGTTCCAGTATAAGGCTGGAAGGGCGATACCTTTCAAAGAGATGACTAGAACCCAACAAAGGCATTTTCAACGGAACTAGGGGCTAATGATGAGGCAACAACAGGGAATGCTACCTCCAAAGGCACCTAGACTACTTGAGGTAGCCAATCAAAATGTTCTCAAAGACAATGAAGAGACTAGAACAGGCAAACCTATGGAAGAATTGAAAGAGACTTTTTCTAGGAGGTTGAAGTTTGAGCGAGACAGAAGGGATGGAGAAGATCCAGATCAGCCCTTTACTATTTAGTTTGGTACGTTACCTCCTGTCGTGGCTAATAACTATTTACTAGCCAATGAGTTCAAGAATAAAGAGAAGGGAGAAGAAGAAAGAGAGGGCAACGAAGAAGAAGCATGCATGCTGGAATATGAAGAAGGCCAAACTTCTAGAGAGGCCTACAATGGTGAAGAAGATGATGGTATGACAGACATCGAAGAAGAAATCGATCTAGAGGCAAAAAGAAGAAGAGGAGGAGTATCGTACAACACTCTGTTGAAGTAACTACATCGAGAGGGAATTCGTGAAGTAGACTTGTTGGGAGAACCATCTGGGCGTTCTTTCGATTTTTACGTGCTGTGCGGAAACCAAAAGGAAGAAGAGAGTGCCTCGCTCTGAAAAGTACGGATCACCTCTAAGAATAATGTCTCCTCCCACAGGTTGGGTAACTGGAGAGGAAGCATTAGAAAACAGTAAAAAGAAAATTCATGAGATAGAGGCTCAGTGCGATATGCTGCATGTTGACCTATCACAAAAGGGTAACTCGACAGGGGACAAGCAGGAAGTGGAAATAAGTGCTGCCGAAAAAGTTATTTTCAAGCGACCAGCCATGAAATTGACCAAACACTTGAGGCCATTGTACGTTAAAACTATAGTTAACGGCATACCTGTGGCAAAAGTGCTTGTCGATAATGGAGCAGCTATAAACACTATTCAATCTAGGATGATGGGGAAATTCGCAAAGACAGAAGGAGATATGATCCCAACAGAAGTCATCCTGACGAGTTTCAATGGAGGAGCAACTTCAGCCAAAGGGGTTATGCCATTGGACATAACTATAAGAACAACTACTAGGACCATAGTCTTCTTTGTAATAGATGGTCCCACTAGTTACAATGTGTTATTAGAAAGAGATTGGATACACGAAAGTAGCTGTATACCTTCATCATTCCATCAGTGCCTAGTTTTTTGGAATGATAAGGGCGAAGTAGAGGTGGTGCAGGCCGATCATAGGCCTTTTGTCGCAGAAGCAAATTCAGTAGAAATGTTCATGTACGAAAGAAATTATGGACCTGTCAGATTAGTCCATGATGGAGAAGAAACTCAGATTGTCGCGCAGAATGAAGAGCCATTTTCGGTGGATGTACTTACCGAAATGTTCAGTCAGATGAGGCCAAACATAGTGGCCCTGGAGGAGCCAGTAATTGGCAAAAGAATAATAAAGGAGTTTTAAATGAGTTGTAAGCAACGAAGACAAATGGCCGATAATCAGGCTTTCAAAGCCAAATTAATGGCTTTCAATAAAGAATGCAAGGACAAGACGAAAGAAGCAGCAGTCTTGAAGACATTGAGAGACAAATTGGAAGTGTTTGAGTTGAAACAAAGTATTGGCCGAGAAGTCAATAAGGTGGATTGTTTAGAAGAAGAAGTGCCTACAAGGGATTTGGACGACGAAGTGATAAGGATCGCCAAACCTGGATACGCTCAAGTACAAGACCCCCTGATTAAAGTGAATATTGGCAATGAAGGAGAAGATCGCTCAACCTTCATCAGCCAAATGCTCAATCAAGAGGTTAGTGATAAATTAATCGTTTTATTAAAGGAGTACAAAGATTGTTTTGCTTGGGAATATGAACATATGCCTGGTTTAGATAGAGATTTGGTGGAACATAGATTACCAACCAAGCCTAATTTTAAACCTCATAGGCAACCTCCTAGGCGTTTCG